TACAGTGCTGTCAGTAATAGGATAATATCCATACACCTACAAGAAAGACCAGATACTACTACTACTATTCAAATCTTCACATTTAAAGCCAAATGTGAAAAAAAAATGAAGATTTTTATGAACTTCTGTAGTCTGAAATTGAACAAACATGCAATCGTAATGTATTGATCATTACTGGTAATTAGAATTCAAAAGTTGGAAATAAAGAAGAATCATCAGTAGTTGGAAAATATGGCCTTGGTGATAGAAATGATGCCAGAGATTGCATGATAGAATTTTGCAAGACCAATGACTTATTCATCACAGATACCTTTTCAACAACATAAAGAGTGGCTATATACATGGACCTTGCCAGATGGAATACACAGGAATAAGATCAAGTACATCTGTGGAAAGAAGCAATGGAGAAGAGCAGTATCACCATTCAAAACTAAGCCAGGAGTGGACTGTGGAACAAATCATCAGTTGCTCATATGCAAGTTCAGGCTGAAGCTGAAGCAAACTAAAACAAGTCCACAAGAGCCAAATATGGCCTTCTTTTGGGTAGGAAGTCAGAAGCCCGGGATTAAGGACACAATGGTTGAGGAAGATGCAGCAGCTAGAGAACTTCTTGTAACAGCTGTCTCTGAAAGAATAAGTATGTTAGGCACAGAGTACAGCAGGCACAACAGTCTTTTTGGAATTGGTGAGTGCTGGACCTTTATAAACCCAAAGAAAGAAACTTCTAGCAAGAGAAAGATTGAATATGTAGATAAAATTGGAAAAAAATGAGGCTCAAGGTGCAGAAAACTGATTCTCCACATGGCTTCCACCTTAGAATTGCTTGGCAAACTTTAATAAACATTGATGCCTCAGCACCTCTTTAGATAATTAAATGTTGGCTGTGCCTGGACACCAGGCTCTTTAAAAGCCCCAAGGTGATTCTAAAAGTCTTGAGAAATATCACTGCTGTTAGAAGAAGGAAAGGATAAGTGAAGATGCAGACATTTCTAGGGAAGAAGGATGGCATGGCATTCATCATCACAAAGAATATTTCAAGATCTATCCTGCATTACAATGCTGTCAGTGATAGGATAGATCCATATACCTACAAGGAAGGCCAGTTAATACTACTGTTATTCAAATTTATGCACCAACCACCAAAGCCAAAGATGAGGAAACGGAAGATTTTTACCAACTTCTGCAGTCTGAAATTGACCGAACAAGCAATCAAGATGTGCTGATTATCACTGGTGCTTGGAATGCAAAAGTTGGAAACAAGTAAGAATCACCGGTAGTTGGAATATTTGGCCTCGGAGATAGAAATAGCACTGGAGATCGCATGACAGAATTTTGCAAGACCAACGATTTATTAATGCAAGTACCTTTTTCAATAACACAAGTGGCAGCTATACATGTGGACTTTGCCAGATGGAATACATAGGAATCAGATTGCCTACAGCTGTGGCAAGAGGCAACGGAGAAGCTCAATATCTTCAGCCAAAACAAGGCCAAGAGCTGACTGTGGAACCAACCATCAGCTGCTCATGTGCAAGTTGAAGTTGAGCACAATTAAAACAAGAGCCAAAATACAACCTTGAATATATCCCTCCTGAATTTAGAGACCATCTAAAAAATAGATCTGATGCATTGAAAACCAGAGGAATTGTGGGATGACATCAAGGACATCATCCATGAAGGAAGCAAAAGGTCATTAAAAAGATAGGAAAGGAAGAAAAGACCAAAACAGATGTCAGAAGAGACTGAAACTTGCCCTTGAGCAGAGTAGCTAAAGCAAATGGAGGAAAAGATAAAAGAGCTGAACAGAAGGTTTCAAAGGGCAGCTTGAGAAGACAAAGTCTGTTATTATAATGAAATGTGCAGAGACATGGAGTTGGAAACCTAAAAGGGAAGAACATGCTCAGCATTTCTCAAGCTGAAAGAACTGAAGAAAAAATTTCTTTTTTTCTCAAGTTGCAATACTGAAAGATTCTATGGGCAATATATTGAATGATGCAGCAATCAAAAGAAGATGGAAAGAACACACAGAGTAACTGTACCAAAAAGAATTAGTTGATGTTCATCCATTTCAGGAGGTGGCATATGATCAAGAACCAATGGTATTGAAGGAAGAAGGTGAAGCTGCACTGAAGGAAGTGGCAAAAAACAAGGCTCCAGGAATTGATGGAATACCCATTGAGATGTTTCAACAAATGGATGCCACAGTGGAGGCACTCACTCGGTTATGCTATAGATTTGGAAGACAGTTACCTGGTCAACTGACTGGAAGAGATCCATATTTGTACCCATTCCAAAGAAAGGTGATCCCACAGAGTGTGGAAATTATCGGACAATATCATTAACATCGCACACAAGTAAAATCTTACTGAAGATAATTCAGAAAGGGTTGCAGCAATATATTGACAGAGAACTTCCAGAAATGCAAGCTGCAATCAGAAGGGGACATGGAACAAGGGAAATCATTGCTGATGTTAGATAGATCTTGGCTCAAAGCCAAGAATACCAGAAAGATGTTTACTTGTGTTTTATTAACTATACCAAAGCATCTGATTGTGTGGGTCATAACAAATTATGGATAACATTGAGATGAATGGAAATTCAAGAACACTTAATTGTACTCATGAGGAACTTAGTACATAGACCAGAAGGGTGTTGTTGGAACAGAACAAGGGGATACTGCATGGTTTAAAATAAAAAAGGGAGTGCATCAAGGTTATATTGTTTCACCATACTTATGCAATCTGTATGCTGAACAAATAATCAGAAAAGCTGGACTATATGAAAAAGAACATGGCATCAAGATTGGAGAAAGACTCACTAACAATCTCCATTATGCAGACGACACAACTTTGCCCTCTGAAAGTGAGGATGACTTGAAGTACTTACTGGTGACGATGGAAGACTACAGTCTGCAGTATGGATTATACCTCAATAGAAAGAAAACAAAAATCCTCACAATGGGACCAATAAGCAGCATCATGATAAATGGAGAAGATATTGAAGTTATCACACAAAGATTTCAGATTACTTGGTTCTACAATCAACACCAGTGGAAGCAGCAGTCAAGATACCAGATGTCATATAGCATTGGACAAACGTGCTGCAGAAGACCACTTTCAAGTGATGAAGAGCAAATATATTTCCTGGAAGACTAAGGTGCACCTGACACAAGCCATTGTATTTTTGGTCGCTTCACAGGCATGTGAGAGCTGGACGATGAAAAAGGAAGACCAAAGAAGAGTCATTGCTTTTCAGTGTGGTGTCAGCAAAAATGCTGAAAGTACCATGGGCTGCTAAAAGAACTAACGAATCTGTCCTGGAAGAGTTGCATCCAGGAGTCTCCTTGGAAGTGAGAATGGCCAGACTTAGTCTCACCTACTTTGGGCATGTTGTAAGAAGGGGCCATTCCCTAGAGAATGATATCATACTTGGTAAAGTTGGAGGGTCAGTGAAAAAGGGGAAGACCCTCTAGATGGATTGACACAGTGGGTACAGAAATGGGCCTAGATAATAAATCCAAGCAAGGATCGTGGAGCTGACACAGAGCCAGGCAGTGTTTTGTTCTGCTGTACATGAGGTTGCTGTGAGTCGGAGATGACTTGATGGCACCTAACAACAGGTGTGCACAGTATGAGGCACAGAAGGGAGGTCATACGCATTGTGATGACCTGCATCTCCTCGGTATATGGAAGGCAGTATCTTCCATTAGAGGGGAAGGACAGGCTTAACTCTGAGCACTAAGAAAAGTGTTTGGAACAAATGTCTTGAGGAATGTGATTGTTGTTGTTGTTATGTTCCATGGAGTCGGACCCGACTCATAGCAACCCCTCCTTGGGTTTCCGAGGCAGTATCACTGCAGAACTAGTTTGCCCAACCTTCCGAGGAGTGGCTGGTGGGTTTGAACCACCAGCCTTCTGGTTAGCAGTCAAGTGCCTTAGGCACTATGCTACCAAAGCTCCCGAGGAATGTGATAGGGATGAATAAATGTCCTGAGAAATGCTATAGATATGAATAAAAGGATCGCCCAGAAGTAGTCAGTCTTACACACACAGTAGCCTGAATATGAAGTTGATTGAGTAACATGATTTTATAACTTTCTCCAGTAATGCTATGTGCATGGGAATTAACCAAGGTTTATTTAGAAGAAAAGTAATTAAAGGGGTATTTTCTCCCTTGTTTATTGATGGAGACAAGAGAGCTGGAGGGGCAACAATAAGACGGTGGACCGTACAGGACAGGCTTGACATACTAAACCCTCCAAGGACATGACTGTCTCTCCTTCTAGCTTGTGCTCAGCTACAGCAGTCCCCCTCCCCAAGTACCCTAGATTCAGCCAGACTTTGGTATTCAAACAAACCAGGTCCTTCCACACATTTGCTATTCCAGAAATGCTTTTTTTTCCCTCCCTGTAGCACTTGATTTCTGTATCTCAGTTAGCACTTTCCATGTGTTCTGTTACGGTGAATGAATTAGCTGACTTAATTTTACCAGTTCTTACTCTTTTCCTTTAACTTTTTAAATGCTTGTTGGGTATATCATTTTTAAATAAATGAGTATATGAATATGAGAATGAGACAGAATCCCTTCACCCAGAGCTAAGAATTACTAAGAAATAGAATAAAACCTGTACACAAACACAAGGTTGAACATATAAGTTCCCTGGAAGGCATAGGATTGACATGCTTTGAAGTACGAAGCAGAGACATCACTCCTCTCACATAGAGCAGAGTTCTCAACCCAGAGTCATGGACTTCAAAAAGGGACTTGGGGGAAGAGTCTTTAACTCCCTAGAATTGTAATCACAAAACTTTCTGTATAGTTGCATGTGTGCATTTTTTTTTTTTTCTGGGATGTGTGTCTATAGGGGCAAATTCAAAAAAGGGATATGAAGCTTCAAGACCCACTGTGTGGGATTCTCTCAAGGAGTTCAGTTTTTTGCCTATACCTGGGCAATGTGTGAGGACTGGAAATGCTCATCCACGTTGATCTGCCTCCTACAGGTATTTCCTTCGAGCCACCATCAGCCGCCGCCTCAACGATGTTGTCAAAGAGATGGACATTGTCGTTCACACACTTAGCACATATCCTGAGCTGAACTCTTCCATCAAGATGGAAGTTGGGATTGAGGATTGTCTGCACATTGAATTTGAATACAATAAATCCAAGTAAGTGTCCCTGGCCCACAGGTTATGGAATAATTATCTAGGGAGAGGTTAAGCAAGGACTGAATCAGAATGCAAATTAATGGAGCCCCATGACCCAGCTGACCTGTAATGGCATGCAGTTGGGAAACCACAGATATAATACAGTGAGTATTTGTGCAAGGCTGGCTACAGGTAGATTGACTAGGAAATAAACATAATTAAATTGTATTGTGTTAGATTAGAAAGTAAACATTTCCAAATAAGCCAAACAAACTTTCAGGTTGTTTTGGATGCTAGGTATACCTGTTTCCCTCTACTGATGAGAATAATGTCAGATACCATTCACATCACTTATTATTTGTTCCCAGCATACATTATATCTTTAAAACAAAGTGACAAAACCAAAACTGGCTGTGGTTTGTTGCTTTTTCCTGAACTAAAATGAGTCATAGCCTGGAACACCTGATGCATAAGACATGAAGGTCTTAAAATAACTTTATTTTAACATGCAAGCTGGGAAACCATGTGTGTTTTACACTTTATTCTATGTTAAAACATTGAAATGTTTCTTCAGTGCAATCATCTTTCTTTTGAATATAATACTAAACCAAAACCCATTGCCATTGAGTCAATTCCAACTCATAGCAACCTTATAGCACAGAGTAGAATTGCCCATGAGGTTTCTAAGGCTGTAAATCTTTACAGAAACAAACTGCCTCATCTTTCTCTGTTGTGTTTAAATTGCTGACCTTTCAGGTCAGAGCTAAGTACTTAATCACTGCATTACCAGACTCCTTTTGCATATAATACATTCCTGAAAATGTTTGCAGGTTGCAGATTGGATAAGAAAACAAAACCTATCAATATGCTGTCTACAAGAGACACTTTAGAGACAAAAGCAAAAATAGACTAAAAATCAAAGGTTGGAAAAAGATATGGCAACCAAAAAAGAGCCGGAGTGGCAATATTAATTTCTGATCAAACTTACTTTAAGAGAAAAACCACTGTATGAGACAAGGAAAGACATGATATAATGATTAAAGGATCACTTGAAAAGAAGATATAACCATAATGAATATCTATGGACCAAATGAAAGGGCCCCAAAATACATAAATCAGACTTTAAAAGAGTTGAAAAGGCAAACAGATGACTCCACAGTCATAGTGGGGGACTTTAAGTGAATGATAAAACAACTGGAAAGAAACTCAACAAAGTTGCAGAAGAGCTAAACAATACAATCCACCAACTTGGCCTTATAGACATCTACAGAGCACTTCATCCAATAACAGCACAATATACATTTTTTTGCCACTGTACATGGAACATTTTCCATGATAGATCACATATTAAGCCATAAAGCAAGCCTTCATAAATTTAAAAACATTGAAATACTGCAAAGCATTGTCTCAGATCATAATGCTATCAAATCAGAAATCAACAATAGGAAGATCAACGGAAAAAGAGTATAAACACATGAAAACTGAACAACACCCTTCTTAAGAAAGACTGACTAAGAAAAAATAAAAATCGAAATTCAGAAACTCCTTGAATTAAATAAGAATGAAAACATAGCATACAAAAATCTTTGGGACACAGCAAAAGCAGTGATCAGAGGCCAATTTATAGCAATAAATGCACACATCAAAAAAGAAGAAAGAGCCAAAATCAACACTTTAATTCAACCTCTCCAACAATTAGAAAAAGAACAGTGAAAAAAGCCCACAGTCACCAGAACAAAGAAAATAATAAAAATTCAAGCAGAAATCAATGAAACAGAAAATAGACAACAGAAAAAATTAAAAAGACCAGAAGTTGACTTCTTGAAAAGATTAATAAAATTGGCAAACCACTGGCAAATTTAACAAAGGAAAAGAGGGAGAGAATACAAATAACACGAATAACAAATGAAATGGGTGACATCCCAACAGAACCAACTGAAATCGAAAGGATAATATCAGGATACTATGAAGAACTGTATTCCAACAAATTTGAAAATCTGGAAGAAATGGACAGATTTCTAGAAACACACCACTTACGTAAACTATCACAACCTGAAGTGGAAAAGATGAACATATCCATAACAAAAGAAGAAATTGAACAGGTCATCCAAAAATTACCAACTAAAAATGTCCTGGCCCAGACAGTTTCACTGGAGAATTCTACCAAACATTCAGAGAAGAACTGACAACAATCCTACTCAAACTATTTCAAAACATAAAAAAGAATGGAATCCTCCCTCATTTTATGAAACAAGCATAACCTTGATACCAAAACCAAGCAAAGACATCACTCAAAAGGAAAACTGCAGACCAATATCCCTCATGAATATAGATGCAAAAATCTTCAACAAAATCCTAGCCAACAGATTCCAACAACATACCAAGAAAATTATTCATTATGACCAAGTGGGGTTCATATCAGGTATGCAGGGATGGCTCAACATTGGAAAAACAATCAATGTCATCCACCACATAAATAAAACAAAGGAGAAGAACCACATGATCATATCAATTGATGCAGAAAAGGCATTTGATAAAATCCAACACACATTCCTGATCAAAACTCTCAGCAAAATAGGAATAGAAGGGACATTCCTCAACATAATAAAGGGCATTTATGCAAAGCCAACACCCAACATTATTCTCAATAGAGAGAGACTGAAACCATTCACCTTGCAAACAGGAACCAGACAAGGATGCCCTCTATAACCACTTCCATTCAACATTGTACTGGAAGTCCTAGCCAGGGCCCTAAGGCAAGAAAGGGAAATCAAAGGCGTCCAAATTGGTAAGGAAGAAGTCAAACTATCCCTATTTGCTGATGAGATGATCCTATACGTAGAAAACCCAAGAGCCTCAGTCAGAAATCTACAGGAACTAATTGAGAGATTTCACATCATGGCAGGATACAAGATCAACATCCAAATATCAGTTGGATTCCTCTACACCAGCAAAGAGATTGCTGAAAAAGAAATAAGGAAATAAATATCATGTACAATAGCTACCAAAAAAATATAATACTTGGGTATAAATCTTACCAGGGACACAAAAGACCTGTACAAAGAAAACTATAGACAAATACTTTTAAGAAACTATAAGAGATCTACATAAATGGAAGAACATCCCATGCTCATGGATAGGAAGATTGAACATTGAGAAAATGTCAGTTCTATCCAAAGCAATCTATACATTCAATGCAATCCCAATCCAGATCCCATCAATATTTTTTGAGGATATGGAAAAACCAATCACTAACTTTATATGGAAAGGAAAGAGAGCTTGGATAAGCAAAGCATTATTGAAGAAGAACAAGTAGGAAGTCTCACACTACCAGATCTCAAAACCTACTATACAGCCACCGTAGTCAAAACTGCCTGGTATTGGTACAATGACAGACGTACAGACCAATGGAATAGAATTGAGAACCCAAAAATAGAACCGTTGACCTACGGTCAGCTGATCTTTGACAAAGGGCCCAAATCCATTAAATTTGGAAGAGAATATTTCTTTAATAAATGGTGCTGGCAAAACTGGATATCCATTTGCAGAAAAATGAAACAAGATATGTACCTCATACCATACCATGCATAAAAACTAACTCCAGATGGATCAAAGACTTAAAACTATAAAGTTCATCAAGGAAAAACTAGGGGCAAATTTAGGAGCCCTAGTATATAGCATAAATAGACTATCAAGCATAACCCAAAATACACAAACAACAGAAGAGAAACCAGATGAATGGGACCTTCTAAAAATTAAATTTTTATGTGCTTCCAAAGACTTCTCCAAAAGAATCAAAAGAGAACCTACAGATTGGGAAAATATATTTGGTGATGACATATTTGACAAGGGACTTATATCTCTAGAATTTATAGAAAACTCCAACATTTCAATAACAAAAAGACAAATAATCCAATTAAAAAATGGGCAGAAGACATGAATAGACACTTCACCAAGGAGGATATTCAAGTGGCCAAAAAACATATGAAGAAATGCTCACGATCATTAGCCACTGTTGTTGTTGTTATGTGCCTTCAAGTCGGCCCCGACTCATAGCGACCCCTCCTTGGGTTTCCGAGGCAGTATCACTATGGAAGTAGGATTGGCCCAACCTTCCTTCCGAGGAGTGGCTGGTGGGTTTGAACCGCCAGCCTTCTGGTTAGCAGTCAAGTGCTTTAGCCACTATGCTACCAGAGCTCCTCATTAGCCATTAGAGAGATGCAAATCAAAACAACAATGAGATACCATTTTGTCCCAGCAGTAGTATCAAAGTTCAACAATACAGAAAATAACAAATGCTGGCAAGGATGCAGAGAGATTGAGACTCTCATACAATGTGGGACCGTACAATGGTACAACCACTGTGGAAAGCAGTATGACGATTCCTTAAAAAGTTCTAATTCCTTAAAGAATTAGAAATACCATTTGACCGAGCCATTCCATCACTAGGCATACATCCTAAAAAAGTGAGAGCCATGACAAGAACAGACATATGCACGCCCATGTTCATCGCAGCAGTATTTACAATAGCCAAAAGAAGGAAATCAACCTAGGTGTCTATCAACTAAGTAATGGACAACCAAACTGTGGTACACACACAGTGGAATACTGTGCAATCCTAAAGAATAACATAGAATCTGCAAAACACTGCATAGCATGGATGAACTTGGAGGACATTATATTGAGTGAAATAAGTCAATCAAAGAAGGACAAATACTGTATTCATGTATTATTGTAAAAGTCAAGGAAAGGTTTGTATATGGAAGGAAATTTTCTCTGTTCATTACCAGGGGTGGGAGGGGAGTGGAGGGAAGGGAACACTGTTAGGTAGGTAGGTGCCTTAGAAAAGAAAGAAAATCAAAATCATAATCAATTGGTTGTATGTCAGTTCTACTTCAATAAAACTTCTCAAAAACTAAAAAAAAAAAATGAAATTTTTTGTATTTTGGGTTTCTCATCTGAAAAATGAGGGGCTTGTATCAGGTTAATGAGTTTCAAATGGGCTGGCATACAAAGTTTGAAGAAGAAATGGAATGAATGAGAACAGCTCTTTTATTTATGGTGTATATGTTTATGCTTTTATGCAAGATTCCATTTAGAATAAAAGAAGGTTTGATTAAGTTTAAAGACCCCTAGAGTCTTTTATGATCTACAAGCATCCCTCTGAAATGCTGTAAGTGTCCTTACCAAACAAACCTATTGCAGTCAAGTCAATTCCAACTCATAGTAGTAGGACAGTAGAACTGCCCTATAGGGTTTCCAAGGCTGTATATCTTTATGGAAGCTGACTGCCTCATCTTTGTCCCCCACAGATATGTTGCTTTTATAAGTGCTCTCAAGTTACCTACTCTGTATCTGTACTCTTCCCAATTAGATTGTAAACAGAAGGCAGTAAGAAATAGTAGAGAGAACAGTCTTGGAAAATAGGAACCTGGACTCACATCTGTCTCTACCCCCTATTCAACTCGTGGTTCACAATTATCCTGTTTCAACTTCCTTTTCTTCACCTGTGATATATGGAGAAGTTAAATTCTAAAATCCCTGCCAAAATTCATGTCCTATGACTGTAAGCTTCATATTTGAGGATTTTGCTGTTTTCCTACCATGTTTAATACAGAGCTGTGCACATTCAGACTACCCGTCTTACTGATTGACCCAATGATAGAAGTTCGAAAGGTCAGAAAGCGTTATGCAACATGGCTGAATTCCTCACAGCTCACAGAACATAAGCACTGCTGAACAGAGGCTGGAAGCAGGCAGTGATGGAAAGTGTGATTCATTTACCTTTGATTTCCTTACTGTTCCTGCCGGTCCTTCAGTTAGGCCCAAGCAGACAGGTCTTGTTTGCTGCAAACCATCTGGGCTCAGTTCCTAAAAGACATTATGTAGAAATTAGAGGGGAAGTCTAGTCGTTTAGTACATTAGAGTATCTAAAAACATGTACACAAATACAAAAGGAAATAAACCCCTTAGGAGGCGGATTAGCAAAGAGAATCCTTCCTGAAAGGGAAGTAACCTTCAGGGAAAATTTCCTTTGAGTTGCATAGGATTGGAAGGATGGGGGACAGAGATTTTTGACTCAGTTAAAGAATATACAGGGAAATCAGTGCAGCAGCGTTGCAAGCAGGAAAGTGGATGGGTTTGTGATGCAATTTATGTAGCAGTACACTACTGAAACCAAAATAGCATAGAAAGGTGCTGAAAGTCAACTCCTGAACAAACATCTTGGTTCTTTAATCTTCTCTTCCCCAGATACCACTTGAAAGATGTCATTGTAGGGAAGATATATTTTCTACTGGTGCGAATCAAGATCAAGCACATGGAAATCGACATCATCAAACGGGAGACGACTGGGACAGGCCCCAATGTTTACCATGAGAATGACACCATCGCCAAGTATGAGATCATGGATGGGGCACCTGTGAGAGGTGAGCTTCTGGCCCCACAACTGGGTAGAAAACCTTAGCCCTCACTCCTGTCTCCCTGGCCTTTTCCAGAACTTTGTAGGGGCCTAGGGGATTACACCATTAAAGTCAGATTTCCCACTTAGCCTATAATTTCTTAAACTCTTATGGTGCATTGTGGATCCCAGTCAGAGAAGGAGGGAAAGAGGCTGAGTCTGTGAAGTGTCAGGACCTAAACCATCTTCACCAGAACAGCTTTCCTAATACCTAGTATATAGGTTGAGCTTGCGCAAAGATTTGACTTAAAGAGTAATACATGTTAAAAATAATCTAAAATGATTGAAAAATGCTGCTTTAGCAGATAGTTTAAATATTTTGCTATTTTTTCCCCTTTTGACATTCTGATATTCTTTGCTGCTTGAGAGCCAGAGATTAATGTATAATCTTTATTTTTCTTAGGTAATACCACTTCTGGTAACACAATTTACTAACTAATCCATTTACTGTAGCCAGAGTACTGAAGGTAGTAGGTATTGACGGGAGCACTGGGACTTAGAAACAGTACCCTCCTCCCCTAATGGACCGAACATTGTATCTGAGATATAATCTGAGTGGAGTTGAAAGCTATGTTATTTGGCAGTAAAGCCAACCAAACCAAACCTACTTCCATTGAGTTGATTGTGACTCATATCAACCCTATAGGACAAAGTAGAACTGCTCCAGAGGGTATCCAAGGTAGTAAATCTTCACAGAAGACTGCTTCATTTTTATAGTGAGAAGTGGCTGGTGGGTTCGAACTGCCAACCTTTTGGTTAACAGCTGAAGCACTGTATCACCAGTGTTCCTTTGTGGGAGTAGCAGTCATTTATGTTTTCCATTGGGTCTGCAGCAACAGATGAAGAAGAGTATCTCTTCATTTTGAAGTGCTTGCTGCTTCCAAGGTTCTGTTCCATTTATTCCCAGTCTGCCCCATGTGGAAGGAGGCATGTCATACATAGCTTGAGCAGCCTGCAATACTGGGGCTGCTGACAGCAGAATATTAGGGGGTTGGGATCCAACCCTCCTGACTCCCTCTGATCTCCCATTTTTTTCACCAACTGTCATTTTTCCTGTGGAAATAAAAGGAGGCACCCAGAGAAATGATAACAGAAGATAATTTAAAAATCGTTTATAATTAGCTTTAGACTACAATAGAGGTTTGGCCTTTCTCAGTGGAATAACTGCCCTAATTTTGTTCCTAGGAAAGGCACTTGCTAGAACTGGAAGGGACCTAAAATATTACCTTTTCTGATTCCACAATTTTCCAAATGAGGAAATTAAGGTCCAAAGAAAGGAACAGACTTACTCAGAAGTCATACATCTGGTTTGTGGAGAACTGAGGCTAGAGTGAGGATTTTCTGTTTTCTTGGAAGGAAGGTTGGGCAATCCTACTTCCGTAGTGATACTGCCTCGGAAGCCCAAGGAGGGGTTGCTATGAGTCGGGGCCGACTCGATGGCACATAACAACAACAACAACAACAGACCATGCTAATCCATACTCGAGTGCCAATTCATTGTATTTTGGGGGGCATATACCAATCAGGTACAGGGAGGTGGCAGTGAAATTGCTGGGTCACATTGTGAGTGAGCTGAGTTTTGACAGTTGCCTCTTGAAAAATTTTAGTAATTACACACACTGCATATGTGTAATTACTATGTGTAAAAGATGCTCAACAATATTTCTGTGCTGGTATACTCATGGCTGCTCATTGGTCTCTATTGCAATGGTAAGAGGACTTCAGAAGAGGCAGTAATACCTGAGGTGGAGATGGAGAGTTGGAGAGTCACATTTCTGCTTCAGCAACCACTGGGCAGCAGATGCATTTGTCTTAATGTCCTATGCCTACACAGTGGGCACCCCCAGCTGTGATCAGAGAGCAACTTGACATAAGGTCAAGTGGGTCCCTTTGCCCTTGCACTGACTCTCACTTTTCCCCAACAGGTGAGTCCATCCCAATCCGGCTCTTCCTGGCAGGGTACGAGCTCACCCCTACTATGCGGGACATCAACAAGAAGTTCTCTGTCCGATATTACCTCAACCTGGTGCTGATTGATGAGGAAGAACGGCGCTACTTCAAGCAGCAGGTGAGACCTGGGACACTCTCCAGGCCCTAAGTGCCCTAAGAACAAGAACAATATCCTTCTTGTGGAAGATTAGGTCCCATTGACAGACTCGGTAGGACAGTATTGGGAGTAAGCGCATAGGTTTCTGTGCCAGTTGTTTTACTATTAAGTGGGAACATAAGCCAGGGTCTCACAGCAAGAATGAGGGTTCCCATTTGACACCCAATCTGTTTCTCAGGCCTAAGCTTCAGCTGCCCAGTCCTTCCATCAGGAGCCCTGTGTCAGGAAGGTATAAGCAGCTGCTCTCCTTGGGGAGAGCAGATGTTGTTACCTAAGACTCCCCAGAAGAAAGTTGTGGGTACCTGGGAAGTCTGTCTCCTCCTTGCCTCCTCCCTCTCACTATATCATGTTGCCTCTCCCTCCCAATTCTGCAGGAAGTGGTGTTGTGGCGGAAGGGTGACATTGTGCGGAAGAGCATGTCCCACCAGGCAGCTATTGCCTCACAACGCTTCGAGGGCACAGCCTCTCTTGGGGAGGTGCGGACCACCAGCCAGCTGTCTGACAACAGCAGGCAGTGAGGCCCAAGGCCAAAGCACCTCTGGGCCTCCACGCCAAAACCCCATCTACCAAACACCAGTGGCTAGAGGGGGCAGGGAAGGAGGGTGTGCTGCTCTGCTGACCTGTTAATTGTGACCTGAAAAAAAAAATCATGTTTTGACTTTACATTCTGTTATCTGATGACCCTAAGGGGCCTGGTTGGGAAGCAGTCTCCTTGGGAGTCTACAGCTGAGGTAGGGAGAGTGAGGGGTAGCATCCTGAAAGCTGGTCTCTTCCTAGGGAAGAAGCCATCTGTTGAGGCCTCCCACAAGACCACCTCATGTCTAACAGGAGAGCAGAGAGCAGGCACCTTTGTTCCTGTTCCTGTGTGCTTCCTAACACAGGATCTGAACATGTCCCCAAGATTCTGAGCTGCCAAAAAGGCTCCCAGGCAGTCACGTCTTACACTTTCTCTGCTGTCCCTGAGGTGGCCTGCCCCATCCAAAATGGTAGGGCAGACTCAAGGTTAGGAGGCTGCCTCCTTGGGAGTCTTGGATGTGGTGCTTTAAAGTCCCCACAAGCCACTTTCTCTCTAGCCTCTCAATGCATGAACCCAGACACCTCCCTCCGTCTTCACTGGGTTCTTATCAGTAACGTCTTAGGACAGAAGCCTATGTAAGGGCCTTTGGATGATTGTCCTTTACCTATGAGACACCCTGGGGTCAGTATGGTGGATGGTCACAGGGTTGAAAACGAGGCCAGGGCACAACCACTGGGAGGAAACATCAATGCCTGGTAACTTTGCCTTCACCACAGAACTCCATTTTTTAACACTGGGCCTGGGTTAGTTTAGAGCATTAGTAGTCTAAATGCCCTAACAAGCCCAAAACAAAAGAGGGTCTGTTTCCTTTAAGAAGAGAGCCAGGGGGAGAAGCCTGATCTACTAAGAGTGGATCCTCATTACTTCTTGTTTCCCGTTTAGTCTCTTGGCACTAAGGCATGATTTCAAACACTAGGAAATGTTCCCACTACTGTCCCAAGCCCTTTACCCCTCTTTCTACAAGTGAGCAGAGGAGGGCCTCAGCAGAAGACTGCTACCACAATTGCACAGTAATTCTGCTTGCCAAATTATGTCTTCATATTCACCAGTTGACTGACCAGGATGATTTAGGACCATTGCTATTTTTTGTTTAAAGACACATACACTAAAGCCCTTATCGGTACTATTATGCTAGGGAAGAAGGCTGAATTCCCTTTATTGCACTGTGCTTGGGCCTATCACATTAAAGATGTTGACTTTCCTTTCTTGCCTCATGTAGAAATGACCAGCAGATACCACTGGTCAATAAGAGTAGTAGTTAGTGGTTGGTCTGAATACTATAGTTTGGAAAGTAGCAAGGTTGGTCTCTGTTATTTTGCAATTAGTGTGAGAAACAAGGACTCCTCTATTCCTCAAAAATAAGTGCAGTTTTGGGCCTTTGGCTGGATAGGGCTCATGGAGCAGAACTGAAATTGAAGGAAAGGCATTCGAGATGACAACTGAGGTTTACCGGGGGCAGCAGAACCAAAGAAGGTCAGGTCATTTCCCCTGTGCTGAGTTCAGGTGCAGCCTATAGTCCCCATGGAAAGAGCTCACCCATCCAGCTGGCCTTGGATTAAGGTTGAGGGAGGCAGAGTTTGTGTTCCTTGCCTTTTTTGGCACATAAGATTACAGTCTGGCTTCCCTCCTGTAATATTTGGTATTGTAACTAGAAAACAGTCTTGTTGGTTCCTCTGTTCCAACTGACAACACAGATTCTTTTTTCAACCTTCCTAACATCTTAAGCATTTTTCCTGGGAGAATTGGAAGACAGAGTCTGCTTTTAGTGTCCCAGGAGCTGTGTACAGCCAGGTCTTTCTCTTACTCTATTGCCATTCCCTACTTCTCTGTCCAACTGTGAAGGGGAGGAGAGGCTCTGGTCTTTACCCTCCTTTCAAGTTTCCTGTACCTGGAAGTACACAGGTACTAAAACAAGCAGTGCAACTTGTATTAAGCAGCTGCAGTGTTTACATGTTTCTTAATGTGTTGTCTTTTCAACAGCTGTATTTGAGAAAAAAAAAAAAAAAAAGGAATACTTGTTTTAATTGTTCTCTGATTAAAGGAAGCCTTGTGGTTCTGGAGTATTGTGCCCATGGTCCACCAGGTTCTATGGTCTCTTCTGTCCAACCTCAGGCATATGCCTGTCCTGAAGCAAACACAACACCTGCTTTCCCCAGTGTATATAGCCCCTGCTGAACAATGATGAATACTTCAGACAAGTACACGGCTAGGAAATGAATTCCCATTTTACCCCTATTTAGCAACTTTTCCTGAAGTTGCCAAATGTTTAAACCTGTGGATAAAGCATTTGGCTGCTAACCAGGTCAGAGGTTCAAACCCACCAAACTGCTCTGCAAAAGGAAGATAGGGCGATCTACTTCTGTAAAAATTTACAGCCTCGTAAACCCAATGGGGATCACTATGAGTCAAAATCGATTGGATGGCAGTGAATTTGTTTTTTGTGTGTGTGGGACCAAGATGACCTCAGGAACAGGGGATAAAGGCTACTATTCTAGGACAATAGTTACAATTTGCCTGTGTGTTAGCAAACAAAAGTCTTAGCTTTGCACCTGGTATTTGCAGAGGCCATTAACTATTAGCTACAATAAAAGGTGGTAGAGGCAGACCTGTATCTCCCTGAGCCACAAAAGCCAGCCTGAAGGCAAAAAATTTACAATGCATTATTAAACTGTACCCAATGAGATTTTAAAAGAGTTCCAACTTTGATATTAATGTTTTATTGAAAAAAAAAAAAAAAGTACATAAAAACCACCTATACACACAACCCCAGGTAAACATAACATCCAAACCTCCTTGTACTTTATTTTGCCATATAAAACTCTGACTTCTGTGGAGATATATCTTGCCTGTTCCAGCAGTAGTGTCTTGGTTTTAACTTGGTTCCTTTTCCTCCAGGCTCAAAATGAAATCAAACTCTTCTACCAAAATGGGGAAGAAGAAAGGGAAGAATTAGATCTCATGTCTCCCTGTAAACAGGGATGTTATGCCAGACGTTCGTAGTGGGTACTTTACATGAAACTTAAAGATAATTCTCATGGTAACTCTAAGGCAGGTACTCATTAATATTTATAGAGTATCTTACTATCTGCCAAGTATTATCAGGTACTGGGCACACAGTAATGGATACCTCAAGACAAATTCTTTCTCTTAACGGATGTTACAGGTAAGGATTCTGATTCAGAAAGGTTAAATACTTGCCCTAGTTTAATTACCTAGTAAATGAAAATTCACAGGGTCATTCTGGGGTATGGTTGATAAGGAGAAAGGCCTGCTCTTACCTTGGGTCAGGGGCTGAACTGAGAGTCTCTGGCAAGTGAAGAGAGCCATGTCTTTTAAGGGACCGCCAGTGGCCTTATGAGCTTGGTAGTAGGTTTTGAGCTCGGCCAAGGGAATGAAACGTTTCATCATTCGAACAAACTGTACATCCACCTATATGACAACAATATGTAGGACAGAAACGTACTCAGCCAAACACTGCCCACCCTGTGTTTATGCTGCTTATAAGAGGCTCCCACAGCAGGGCCAGGACTCCATTCTGATCTCCAAAGTCAGGGTTTCCTCATCTTACATATTCACGACCCTCCTTCCTACCTGTCTTCATCCATCCCTCTCCTCTCACAAACTATAAAGAAGAGTTAGTTTTCACCATAGACCACTTAGGGTTGTCCTTTGTGCTGGACGGGTCGTAATGGGGATTGTTTTTCTCAAACTGTGTATGATCCGGGTAGGCTTCCTTCACAATCTGAAACCAAAACCAAAATTTCCAATCATCTTCCACAGTCAGCTGATAGAAATGTCCATGGGCAATTTTAAATGCAAATCAAACTTTCATTTCATACCCTGCACATTCTTAATCCATCTGCCTTGCTTTGGAGCCAGTAAGGGCTCCAAACCAAACCAAAACTAAACACACTGCCATCGAGTTGTTTCCAACTCATAGCGACCCCCATTGGGTTTCTGAGGCTGTAAATCTCTATGGAAGTACATCGCCCCGTCTTCCTTCTGAGGAGTGGCTGGTGGGTTTAAACTGCTTACCTTCCAGTTAGCAGTCAAGTGCCTTATCCACTATACTACCTCAGAGAGCTAGATATAGTACATAATCTAAGGCAAGCATAGGTAGCAAGTCAACCCTGTTTTTATAAGTCTTAAAAGCCTATTCTAAAACCATATGTTAATGGTTACTGTATGGTTGGAGCCAAGAATGGTGTTTATTTTATTCCACCTGCACAGTTAAATTATTTTATCCTGCAACTCTAATGACTTAAAGAAGCTACCACTAGGTCTATTTTTCAATGAGACCAAGGCTCAGAGATGGAGAGAAGTCTGTGCTAGTAGAGCCTAAAATGAAGGCCTGCCTTGTTCTAGTCTCACGTATGAGAAGGGCCAAGGCAATTTTTCCATTTTCCTGTGACAGGAGGCCTTGGGAAAGAGTGCTTTTTTGTTACTTCTTTAAACTGTGCCCCTTTATATCTAGATGAGTAAGCATTCCTGAAGGGAGAAGGGATTCAAGCAAAACCCTTCAACTCACCTTCATAAGTCCTGCAATGCCTGGCTCTTTGCAGTTGCTGTGGTAGAAGAAGACCTCTTCCTCCAGCTTCATGGCTCTAAGGAAATTCCGGGCCTGGCCCAGGGGAGAAGAAATGAGAACTGTCCTCCCCACCAGATGGGAAACACTAGCTTTTGGCACATATCAAATCAGTACTGATGAGTTTTTCTTATTTGAAACTTCTACCCATTTCACTGAAAAAGTCTGTCTCCTCTTCCAAGCTATTCATACTTGTACCAGGACATTGGCTAGAACACAGGCCATCTGCAAATACCATGCAGTCAGAATAACTGTTATGAAATACCTTTTTTAGGTTTGGGTTCTGGGAAAAAGGAATCTTTGCCAAAAAATTCTGTGACTGGGTTAAGTCATGATGATGAGATAGGCATTTAACCCCACACTGAGCCTTGGGTGTTCTGTTCCTTACACCTTTACCTGGTAGTTGCGAACACCATCCCAGCATGCTGTCTGATTGGGCTGTACTTTGAGATCCTCAATGGCGAACTACCAACAGGAAATGCAGTCATTCGTTAAATAATCCTTGGCCAACCAGCAAGCATGTATGAATGCAGACAGTTCCCTCCCTACACTGAGAGGTGCTATTGACTGTGGTAGGAATGAGTAGTTTATTGAGAAGTAGCTCCATAGAGCCACTTACATGTTGGACAAATATAAATAAACCATGTGTTACCCAGTTAGCCTTGCTAATAGAAGATTCCTTGAATGGATAATCCAGAAACTATAGTATTCTGCTGTATTTCACTTACCAAAGTATTATGTATTTTTTCTATCAATTCTATTTCTCTCAGGATTTTTTTTTAAAAATTGGCTTATGTACTTTACCTGAATGTGCACCAACTGTTAACAAGGAAACACCTGGAAGCATGGCAGGTAGTGAGAGGAGGACAACTTAAGATTGAAATGCTGCCTAGCCTGACGCCTGTTGTAAGTAAAGTTATACTGGAACATAACCATGCTCGCTCACTCACATATTGTCTATGGCTGATTGCTTGCTACAATGGCAGAGGTGAGTAGTTGGAACAGAGATGATCAGATCCGCAAGCCTAAAATATTTAATATATGGCTTATTACAAAAAACACTGCCAACTTCTGCCCTAAATAGAAGATTCAGAAAACATGTAGTTGATGGTAATAAATCCTGCTGATTTTATTCATTTTTATCTTTTCCCTACTCTTCAAAGATAAGAAGCTGATGGAAATCTTTCATGTTCCACATTAACCTCTCATTAAATAATAAACTTACGTTGGAATTGGACACATATACAAAGTCTCACCTTCACATCTACACCCTTCTCTAGTCGGCTCTCTGGCTCTGACTTCATCAGCCAGTGGCTGCCTGGATTCTTTCCATAATTCTTAGAGGCTAAAATCTTCTGAGGGCTGGGGTTCTCCATTTTAGCTGATGCCCCATCTGGGTTCTCAGTTTGGATACGTTTCCTTGATGGCCCTTTTTTGTCTGCAGTAGGTAAAGAAAAGACCTGTCATACCTCCTGAGAAGTAATGTTCCATTATAGGAAAAACATAAACTTTGGAGTCAAGCCTGGATTTAAATCCTGGATACATCAATTACTAGCTGTAGCACCTGAACTGCTGAACTTCAGTTTCTTATCTCTAAAAACAGAACAAGAATACCTACCTTACAAGGGATTTTCTAGATTATCCACTCAACAGGGTTGAGCATTACAGTTTGGCTTTTAAAGGTTCAGTAAGGGTCCTAACAGAGTGCCTCGCATATATTAAGTAGTACGTAAATGTCTTCCCTTCCTTCCCTCACTCTTTTGTACCTTTGCTGAGGTTAGTCTGTCCAGTGAGGAAAATGAGTACACATTCTATTGATTAGTTCAAATTCAATGAGGTAATACATGCAAAGGGCTCAGAATTATGCCTGGCATTACAAATAAATAATAAATATCAACCATTATCATCACCACCTCATGCTTCTTTCCTCCTTGTTCATTGTGCTTCTGCTACCCTGGCCTGCCTCTTTTCTGCTCCTTGAAGGTACCAAGAGAATTAAGGAAAAAGCATCATTTAGTATGTATAGATATAGCAAAGACATGATTTTATTCAAGACAAGGTGCTTGAAACAAAGTACGGACTCAACAGCAAATAGATGTTAAGTTCTAACTATATGACAAGCCCTATACTAAGCTCTAGGGAGCTCTGGTGGCATAATGTCAAAGGCATTTGACTGCTACCCAGAGGGCTAACAGTTCAAACCCACCAGCCACTCCTCAGAAGGAAGATTGGGCAATCTACTTCCATAGTGATACCGCCTTGGAAACTCAAGGAGGGGTCACTGTGAGTCAGATGCAACTTGACAGCAGTGTTTTTTTTTTTTTTTTTTGGTTTGTACTAAGCTGTATGTGTTACCCTAACCCTGACTCAGTTAATCTATACAACAACCTGAGATATTTCTATATCTGGAAAAGGTGCCCCAAAATACATTTCCAGTAAACAGAATCAAGATATGAGCTCAAGACCTGTGGCTCTGGTCAGTCTCAATCCACACTCAATGACTGTACTACATTGCCTCTGAACTGAGTCCAAGCTTATGTATCATTCGTTGTTAAATATCATTCATGTGTGCCTAGTACTCTGACCCTAACAAAGTTTCCAGCTTTCCTGTTGTTGTTGTTAATGTGCCGTCAAGTCAGACCCGACTCATAGCGACCCCTTCTTGGGTTTCCGAGGCAGTGTCACAACGGAAGTAGATTGCCCAACCTTCCTTCCGAGGAGTGGCTGGTGGGTTTGAACCACCAGCCTTCTGGTTAGCAGTCAAGTGCCTTAGGCACTATGCTACCAGAGCTCCTTCCAAATTTCCTAGTGCTCCCTAAGAGGTAACAGACACTATAAACACCATTAAAAAAAACAAACCACTGCAATTGGGTTGTGTCCGACTCATAGCAACCCCTCCTTGGGTTTCCAAGACGGTATCACTATGGAAGCAGATTGCCCAACCTTCCTTCCTAGGACTGTTGTTAGATAACTTACGTTGTTGCCTTCCAAAGCTTTGTTCTGGCTCTTTATCCACTTACTGATCTATCCATCCTTGTCAAATACAAGAATGGCATCACCTTTTCTGTGAAAAGCCTTCCTGCTTTATAAGGCTAGATCCAAATTCCTCTTTCCAAGGCCGCCTGTGATGCCTCCTTCCTCTCAGACCCCAACAATTCAGATTACTGGATGCTTTAACCTGTGTCTGTCTGCATTTTTTCCTGAAAGAAGGAATCCTATATTCTTTACCTTCGCATTTGCCACTCTGTATTGCAAGATTTCTTTTGTTTTTGCTCAACAAATAGCTGTTGCTCAAGTAAACAAGTAGAAGGGTCTCAGGGCACTGGTTTGTTGGGGAAGACTAAAGAAAAAAAATGGAGGGTGATTAGGAATGACGGAATGAAAAATCTACAAAAAATTTTTCCCCACAAATAAGGAGTATTAAGTGAACAGTATCCTACAAGTTCTAGAGAAACGATTTTTATGAAGCTGCCTTTTTGCAGCCTGGGTTCAGCTCACCTGTCCCAGTAGTCCCAGCCAGCCTCTTCCGGGTTTGGGGCATGGTCGTCTTGGGGGGCTGAGGTGAGAGTGATTCTACAATCAACCGTGAGATAGAAGAGGTAACTCTACGATCCCAGAAAACATCGCAGAGTAAGATACAAACAATGCAACCAGGAACTAGAAGCTCTCAGACTCGAAGGTATTTGGCCAAAAATAAAGCCAATTGCTTTTTAGCGCCTAAAATCCACCCTTCCCCATTACCTCCGCCCCATCTCCGTCTTGCATAACATGCTCCCAAAGTCTCCTGTTCTTTTCTTTATGCCGCTTCCATAAATCACTGCACAACCCCCAGACTCCATAAAACGCACCCTAACCCACTTACCAAGGCGCCAGAGGCCCGTCACCGCCCCGCTTTTGTTGTTGTTGTTGTTATGTGCCGTCGAGTGGCCCCGACTCATATCGACCCCTCCTTGGGTTTCCGAGGCAGTATCACTACGGAAGTAGGATTGCCCAACCTTCCTTCCGAGGAGTGGCTGGTGGGCCCCGCTTTTAGTGACCGTCATTCTTGCGCCGAGGGCCCCGGGATTTCTGGGAGTTGTAGTCTCCGCATTGTACAATGACTCACCTGTACCCCAGGAAGAGGGACAGAGTTGGACTACAATTCCCAGGACGCAGTGGAGGCTTCGGGCCGCAGCTACAGGCCTATTGCTGCCGGAGTAGAGGCCCGAAGGTCTATGGTGCAGACACTTTGGTGGGGTTGCGTACCTGGTACCATGTTGCAAAGCGTCGGCCGCCGCCTCACAGTGCAGCTTACCTGCCTGCTCCGCGTGACCTGGGCGCCTACCCAGAGGATCCACAGGGAACTAGTTTCCTGCATCGACCGTAAGGCTCGCCCCGGGTTGTGCGGGCCCGTGGTCCTGCGTCCGCTAAGCAGGATCCTCCGCGCAGCTTCTTTGCCCAGTTCTAGGTGGTCACCTTTGCCCGCTCTCACTGCCCCTTGTCTCAGTCTTGAGCCCCGTTTGCCCTCGCAGCCTCTCTCGCTTCCACGACCCTCCGCGCTTAAAGAAAGAAGTGTCTTTTGGATGATGACACAACGCCGCCCTAGTGCCTGAGCCCCGTCTCTCGGGCATCCACATAGCGACCTATCTAGAAGAGCTGGCACTGGTCTCCGAACTGGGGGGTGGGAGGAAGGAGGGGCTTAAGATAAATAGAGATGTGAAAATACTTGGGTGTTGTATAGATTGATGTTTGTTACCGGTGCTATTCATTAATTGTTCAGATCTTTTAGGAACCGTTTCGGATATCTCGTTTCTGTACCTTTCTTGTTTTTCAGATAAGGAAATGGATGGATGCTTAGAGAGGTAAAGGCTGTTCTTTTGAATCTCAAAAATAATTGATTTAAGACACATATACACTAATAACTGCCACACTGGCATAGCAAAGAAAACTCATTCCTAAAGGGAAGTATAACCGCAGGTAGAGGGGTTAGGACTTACTACACATGTTCTTGGGGGACACAGTTCAATACATAACATTCTATCCTTTGTTGTTGTTGTTACGTGCTGTCCAGTGGAACCCGACTCACAGGGACCCGACTCATAGCGACCCAACTCATAGCGACCCCTCCTTGGGTTTCCCAGGCAGTATCACTACGGAAGTAGATTGCCCAACCTTCCTTCCGAAGAGTGGCTGGTGGGTTTGAACCGCCAGCCTTCGGGTTAGCAGTCAAGTGCCTTAGGCACTATGCCACCAGAGCTCTATCCTTTGGTTCCCCAAAATTCGTACCTTCCCACATGTAAAATATATTCCACCACATTATCCCAAAAGTCTTAAATGAACTCCAAGTCCAAAATCTCATTTTCTGGATAATCTAAATGAAATACGGGTAAGACTAGGCATATTCCATTCTGGGGCAAATATCCTCTTTTATGAACCTGTGAAATCTAAAATATAAGTTGTCTGTTTCCAAAGTACAATGGTGAAACAGGCACAAGGTAGACATCTCCGTTATAGATGGGAGAAACTGCAAAGAAAGAAGGGATAACCATCATAAAGCAAGTCTAAAACTCAGAAGAACAAATTATGTTAGCTCTCAAGGGTTGAAAATAATCCTGTGTTCTCTGAGACCATCTGGGCATTAGCCCTGACCTCTATACTTGGTATTGGCAATACTCTGGATTCTGGGTATAGGCATCTAGACCTGGGATGAAGCCCCCACCTTCCAGGCCAACTGCTAAAGAAATATTGCCCCTTCAGCTTTAAGTGGCCTACTCCTCCTATTCCATCTGAGTGGCAGCCTTAGCCCTGATAGTCTCTGTTCTCCTGCCTCTTGGGCATGTCACCCCTACAAGGTCAGCTTTGGATATTGGCCACATTCTCTTTGCCTGCCTGAACAACAACCCCACACTCCAGACCCAGTTGGTAAAGGTCTGACTCTTTGAAACCTAGGAAGCTGTGGTTCCACACTTTGAAATGCAGAAGGCTGTGATTCTACCCTTTGAAACTGAGGCAGCACTGCCCCTTTCAACAGTTCTGCTGATGGCCAAGCTGCTCCAGGGATGGTCCTTTTCTTGGAGGACAACAGATGTTTGGCCTGCTTCCTGCCTATAGAATTGTACAAGACAGGTTCCTTCCTTTTGCCTTTTCTTTGTCTCCTTCAGGCTAAGCTGATGGTTTCTCTGCTGTAGTTGGTTAGATCCATCATCTTAATTTCTTTAACAAAAGATTGCATAACCACATCCTTGTTGAAAGTTCTTTGGCATATGTCTAAATCTTTAAGTTATGTTTTGCTCAGTTCATTTTTAAGTCCATTTCTTTTCTCTTGTTTTTTACCATATGCAGCAAGGAGAAACCATGCTGCTCCTTTAAGATCTTGCTTACAAATCTCCTAGCCAAGTATTAAAATTCATCACTTACAAGTTCTACCTTCCACCAAACATTTGAACATAATTCAGACAAGTTGTTTGCTACTCTGTAAAAAGCATTTCCCTTCTTCCATTGTCCAGTCATGTGTTCATCATTTTCTTTTAAAGCCTCACCAGAAGCACATTTAACATGTCTAGCAACATTCTGTTGATGGTGCTTGTCTTAGTTACCTAGAACTGCTATAACAGAAATACCACAAGAGCATGGCTTTAACAAACAGAAATGGACAGTCTTCATGTGGCTTGGCCTCTCTTCCCACATCTCTGCTTCCCTTGCTTATTTAATCTCTTATATCTCAAGAGAGATTGACTCAAGACATACCCTACTCTAATCCTGCCTATTAACATAACAAAGACAGCACATCCCCAGATGGTATTATAACTAAGGCATAGAGATTAGGATTTATAAAACTTATTTTTGGGGGACACAATTCAGTCTATAATAGTGCCATATGTATTCTCTAAAATGATGTAGAATTGATCTGTGGCTCTCCTCACATCCTTTTGAGCTCTCACCAGAATTACCATTGACATCTTTAATTCTACCAACTGGCTTTTCAAGGTAATCTAGGTTTTTACTATTAGACACCTTAAAATTCTTCCAGCTTCCACGCAATTACTCAATTCCAAAACCACTTACACATTTTAGCTATTTGTTAGAGCATCACCCCACTTTCCAGTACCAAATTCTGCCTTAGTATTCTATTGCTGCTATAACAAATACCACAAGCATCTTTAACAAATTAATTTTCTCACAGATTAGGAAGCTAGAAGTCAGAATTCAGTGAATAGGCTCTAAGGGAAGGCTCTCTCTGTGTGTGCTTTCTAGGGGAAGGTCCTTGGTGACCGTAGGGCTTGTATCTTCCCCGTTTCTGCTTGTTTGCTTAATCTGTTCTTTTGTATCTCAAAAGAAATTGATTTAAGACAAACCCTATATTAATACAGCCACACTGACATGAAGAAAGCCCACTCCCAAATGGGACTCTAACCACAGGTAGAGGGGTTAGGATTTATAACACCTTTTGGGGGAACACAAACAGAAGGTAACAGGCTTTGCATTTTGTCTTTCCCCTTTGCGTTTTCAGAGCCACCATAGTAATTCAGGGTGTCACTGTTTCTCCAAGTATAGACAGACACTTCTTTATTTTTTTTTTCTTAGCATACCTTGGACAGGTGATCCTTACAAAATGAACATACTAAGAGACAACAAAAGAGAGAGAAATGGAAGCTGCATTAATGTGATTAGTCCTGTACAGGTTACAGATCCCACTGCTGTTTCCAGCTCCCAGAATTTGTGGTCCTATCTTGTTTGAATTCTCTGTGCCAGCCTTTGCCAAGAGAAAATTGCCTTTCACAGGAACTTTGACTAGGTTCCTGACATTTAACTTCTGTCCAGTATCTAGCTGTAACTCTTCATTCCCTAGTAAAACATAGAAAGTGTTTCATTAGTTACTTAACTGGCTAATTGACATGCAGCTCTGCTTTCCAATTCAGTCGTACCTCACTATGCAATCTTTAAAAAGTATGTAAAAATTCTGTATGTAGGCTGCTGGAGGAGCTGGCTACTTAAAGAAAATCTGTAAAGTAATGATTGTTGTTGTTGTTGTTATGTGCCTTTAAGTTGGACCTGACTCATAACGACCCCTCCTTGGGTTCCCAAGGCATTATCACTATGGCAGTAGATTGCCCCATCTTCCTTCCGAGGAGTGGCTGGTGGGTTTGAACCGCCAGCCTTCTGGTTAGCAGTCAAGTGCCTTAGCCACTATGCTACCAGAGTTCCCATTTAAAAAGTAATGGTACTGAGAATTAAATATATATGTGTGTGTGTGTGTGTGTGTGTGTGTGTGTGTGTGTGTGTGTGTGTATATATATATATATATATATATGTAGTATGTAGTTTTTTTCACCTGAAGTTCATACCATCTCAGTTGGTCTTCTAAATGAATGTATTGGTCAAGACACTATGGATATAAAAACATATACTTAAGTAGGATAGAATGACATGAATACAAAAAAAAAAAAAAATTAGGACAGCCTGAAAGGAAAAAATGTTTACCACATTTTGAGGGTCAGTGGGAGCTCTGGTGGCATAGTGCCTAAGGCATTTGACTGCTAACTAGAAGGCTGGCGATTCAAACCCACCAGCCGCTCCTCGGAAGAAAGACTGGGCAATCTATTTCTGTAGAGATACCGCCACGGAAACCCGAGGAAGGGTTGCTGTGAGTCGGGATTAATTCATCAGCAGTGAGTTTGGGTTTTTTGTTTTGTTTTTTGGTGTATTTATTATTTTTTTTTTATGTGGATTTATGAAGAGGAATAGATAAAGAAGTATATTGAAGATAAATGAGGTCACCCAATGCAGTTGGGAATAGAGATGGGAATAACATTTGACCAGTATCTTTACACCCTACATGTCCCACTATGCTCTCTGTGTCTGTGTCCTGTTTGTATCTCCCTTCTGCTTCATTCTTCTCATGACTTCTCAGACTCTCATTGTCTGTCTGGATCTCAACTATATTTTACTAAGTACCTAGAGTAGAGATTCTGGTAGCATAGTGCCTAAGGCACTTGACTGCTAACCAGAAGCCTGGTGGTTGAAACCCACCAGCCGCTCCTCGGAAGGAAGATGGGGCAATCTACCTCCATAGTGATACTGCCTCTGAAACCCAAGGAGGGGTTGCTCTGAGTCAGGTCCAACTCGACAGCACGTAACGACAACAGAATAGAGATGTCTAAGAAGTAGCCATATACTGACTTGGGTTGATTTGGGTATGTGTCAGAACGGTCCTTCTCCATCAAAGACGATGACTAATGAGCAAGGCCTTCCTCTCTGTGTTAAAGGCTGTACTGTGTATGGTAGATGCTGTGACCAGATATCTTAGTTATCTAGTGCTGCTGTAATACAAATACTTTAAGAGCATGACTTTAACAAACAGAAGTTTACATTCTCATAGTTTAGGAGGCTAAAAGTTCCAATTTAGAGCCCCATCTCTGTTGTTGTTGTTATGCTGTCAAGTCGGACCCAACTCATAGCGACACCTCCTTGGGTTTCCGAAGTGGTATCACTATGGAGGTAGATTGCCCAATCTTCCTTCTGACGAGTGGCTGGTGGGTTTGAACCACCAGCCTTCTGGTTAGCAGTCAAGTGCCTTAGGCACTATGCTACCAGAGCTCCTGCTCCAGCTCTATTTCTGTAGAGATACCGAAATTTTTCTCTCTCTGTTGACTCTGGTTCCTTGGAGAGCTCTCTGTGTCTTGGTATCTATCTTATACCCTGTCTATCTTCTGCTCCCTTGCTTGTTTAATCTCTTTTATATCTCAAAAGAGATTGACTAAAGATACACCCTACACTAATCCTGTCTGATTCACATAACAAAGACAGCCCATTCCCAAATGGAATTATAACCATAGGCATAACACCAAGTCATGGTACTTCTTGTTTGTGGTACTCTTCCCTAGCCCCTGGCCTAGAATTGAGTATATGCAATCTTGCCTTCAGCTTCTGTGGGACTAAGTGAAGAACAGAAAGAGTTTCAGAAAGTGGCCTTTGACTTTGCTACCCGAGAGATGGCTCCAAATATGGCAGAGTGGGACCAAAAGGTAGGAATTATACTTGTGGCAAATGCCTCATGCATTGACCCGTATCTTTATATGATCCTCACTGCTCAGTGTTCTCTGCATTGCAACTCTGATTACAGTAGTTCTGATGATGAGGTGATTACTTTCATAGAAGGCATCCTCATGCTCTTGTATTATCTTTTTTCTAAAATTGAACAAGGATCTAGACATAGTTAAGCCAAGGTTGCTCTGTAGATAATAAAAAGAAGCTTTTTAATGCCAGAAAACCAGTCCTTATGGAACACGTTTTATCCCACATAATTCTAAGATGACAAGCACATTAAAAGAATTAAAAGAATCCCTGCCCTCCCAGATGCAAACATCCTAAATTCCTTCCATACACCCTCCCAAGAAAATTCCATTTATGGATCAATTACTGATGAGCCTGCTGTCTTTTGTGCACAGGAGCTGTTCCCAGTGGATGTGATGCGGAAAGCAGCCCAGCTAGGCTTTGGTGGGGTCTACATACGAACAGATGTGGGTGGGTCTGGACTATCACGGCTTGATACTTCAATCATCTTTGAAGCCTTGGCTACCGGCTGCACCAGCACCACAGCCTACATAAGCATCCACAAGTGAGTGCCCAAGCTTGGAGAACTTGATGAAATACTCCCCAGGCTTGATTGGAAGCTTTGACGTTCATAAGGAAAAGATGTATCTTTTTAGGCTGATTGCTCTTGAGGAACTAGACTGGTAAACTACACAATAAGTCTACTATGCTATTAGACTTGATAATGTCGTCTTGTTCATTGCTTAGAGAATCGGATTTGCCAGACTTCTCCCAAATACTGGATTGAGCTGGTGCCAACAGACTTCCCAGAAAGTGGTCAGGGCACTGTTAGACTTACCCTCCACCCAGAGATGAAACCTCCAGTAATTGAGGGAAACAACAGAAAGTACATATAACTCTGAGTATCAGGGAGTTCTCAACCTACTTGAGAGTGGCATCAATATTCAGGTGAGAAATTCCTTAGCCCTGGCTATCCCTGGGTAGCACACATCCTAGGAATATTTTTAAGCAGTACTTCCCTTTAAAGTTGAATCTTCTTAATCGTGATTATTTTCCCTTCTTACTTTTCTGCTTCACTGTACTTTGCTGCCCTTTGTTCTCTTTTTTGCCCAAAATTTCTTTTCCTTTTCCATCTTCATTCCTGACAGTTATCCTTTTTTCCTATTGGTGTACCTGTCAGCATGTGCGTCTGGATGATTGACACATTTGGAAATGAGGAGCAGAGGCACACATTCTGCCCTCCACTCTGCACCATGGAGAAGTTTGCTTCCTACTGCCTCACTGAACCAGGTGGGTGTGCCATCCCCCAGGTAAGAGTTAGGAGAAAGATATGGCACCAAGAACTGCTTCTCAGCCTACTGACCATCGCTTATCAAGAAAGTTGGTCCTGGGGTAAAGGACTATGCACTCTGAGGTGACAACACTCAGGTTTGTGAATCAGGGTCTCCTAGCTCCCTGCAAAGCAACATGTGGAGAGATGGGAAGTGGTCTGATTGGTATAGGCAGTTTTCACCAAGTGTAAGATGTTCCTTTATCAGTCTGGATCTGAAAAAACTGAACCATCTGCATGGTAAGATTTCCTGGAAAAAGGAACTGGGGCTCCCTTGACTTCACTGACCCTTTCTACCTGCTTTGTTTCTCTGCCTCAGAAAGTGGAAGTGATGCTGCATCCCTTTTGACCTCAGCTAAACGACAAGGAGATCATTACATCCTTAATGGTTCCAAGGTACCAAAGTATGGTATACTTTTCTCCTAGAACTTCTAGGTTACTCCCATCTTCCCTTAAAAGCCCCCTGGCTCCTTGGCCTCTACAAGTTAGTATTCCCATAGGATTTTTACATCTGACACATTTCTATTTATTCACCTCTTTGGTTTTTATCTCTTTTGATCTGATTCCAGGTGATTGCTTTCATTTTTGTCTGTCCTATTCATACTCTCCTCAACTAGATGCCTAATTTCCTAGAGTCAATGCAGCTACTTTTTATCCCTTCTCAGTCCTTCTGTGCATTTATATCTCTTCATACTGTGTTGTTGGAGGACCACATGGATTTCCCAGGATTTAGTCTCCAAGAATGCAAGCATCTCCTTAACCCTGTGCACTCCTCCAATCCCTCAGGCCTTCATTAGTGGTGCTGGTGAGTCGGACATCTATGTGGTCATGTGTCGAACCGGAGGACCCGGCCCCAAAGGCATCTCATGTATAGTTGTTGAGAAAGGGACCCCTGGCCTCAGCTTTGGCAAGAAAGAGAAAAAGGTGAGTGACTTCTGAATGGGAAACAATTCAAGTTATGAGACTTTGCCACCTGCTAGAGCAGCCCCTGCCCTTTTCTGAGAAATAGGTTCTTAGACTTGCTAACCTGCCTCTGAGGCCACTGCTTCTATTAAAATTGTTCACAGGAGAATATGAAATAAAATAGAGCATTGTTAAAGAAACACGATACCATGGTAAAGTGGCAAAGTTTGCCAGTAAGTTCCTTAAGCAGCCTGTTTCATTCTAAAGTGTTCCTCTGCCATCTCTCCTATCTCAGCTTTTGGCCTATATTTCTTATCAGCTTCTTATTTTGGTGAGCTCTGTTATCCCAGGAAGAGGTACTTGCAGAAGATCTAGTGTTGAACCGAAGTCTCAAGAATGAAAAGTATGTCAGCCATTTTCTTACAATAAAAATAAAATAAAACTTGGTGGAAATGTTTATATTTCAATAATAAAAGAGAGGCAGTGTTTCCTTAGGTACCTTGAGAAATAAGACATCTTAAGATTAGGAAATTCTATAGCCAGAACATGAACAGTAGAACCATGATAATGTAACTGTAGTTTGTGATGGGGTGAAACCTATTCAAATTGTTTAGGCCCATTGAGCAGAATAGTCATTTATCTCAAATTTGCAATGTTAGAGTTAGGACTTTTATAGATATGTCAGGTACTAAAATGACCAATAAGTATACTTCTCACACAGCTCTTAGGGTTTTCATATTTCTCTGCATGAGGATCCTGACCCTTTTGTAACTTGCAAGGAATTGTGAGTCTTACTGCCCCCTCTTCTTTTATATCATGTTTTTGTCGTTCTTGTTATGTGCCGTCAAGTCAGACCTGACTCATAGCGACCCCTCCTTAGGTTTCTGAGGTGGTATCACTACGGAAGTAGATTGCCCAACCTTCCCTCCGAGGAATGGCTGGTGGTTTTGAACCACCTTTTGGTTAGCAGTTGAGTGCCTTAAGCACTATGCTACCAGAGTATTTACTAGTTACCTACTATTGCAAGGCCTTATGCTAGATCCTGGGGGGATACAAAATTACAAGAATCACTCCTTGCCATGATTGAGATCATAAGACATACAGTGTTTTATGTGGTCTATTTGGAATTATAAGACGTATACTGTTGTAGTCAGATCATCTCATAGTTTACAGGATCAAGTTATACTGACTCATATGTTTGAATTTATAAAAATAGTAATGATTATTTAAATTAATATATGTAGTAT